ACTTACAACAAAATTAAAATATTAAACGAATTTGCTAAAGCCCGTATTAATAGCTGTTACTTGAAACTCGTCTCAAGTGAGATATTCAGAATCAGATAAGAGTTTTTTCAGTCAGAATCGCGATTGCACATGTAAATGTCACATGTATCACAGTGCATAACTGAAAAACTTGGATCTAATTCTGCATACAAATCTGAATATTTCACTTGAGACAATCGAGACAATTTCATCAAAAGTGGCAACTATTAAAACTGGATTTAAGGCAGTTGCATCAGCCGAGCAATAAGATAACTAATAGTTAAATCATATATCTCTGTCCGTGTTTTTCTCTCGAAATAAACAAAGACAGACACACATTCAACTGTTAATTAGCTTACATTCAGTCGATGCAATCAAGTCTAAGACAAACATCGTCCAATCAGTCGAATGGCGGACTTTGCTAAGCGCGATCGGCGTTTTCCACCGTAAACACGACGGCTGTTAAAACATCAGTGAATCGACCCCGCGTGTTGAAAACGAATCTCTAAGCGTCGGGAAAACTTTTTTCTCGCTAATTACTCAAGAAATTCCAATCCGCGTGCTGTGCGCTCCTCGACGTGGAACGGGGTAACGATGCAATGCGACTCCACATCAGCCAGTCCGTGTCATAACACGCTCGACAATGACATCTCGCGCTATTACGAGGTGCACACAGCGCGTGGCTACACACTAACACTAGTAATTCCTTAATGACTCGGAATGCCGAGCCGTTTCGAAGGGAGTGAAAGTCGCGGTTGAATGTGAAGCCCGCGATACCCACAATAACTCGAAGATTGTACGATAGCGAGACGTTATTTCTGTCTCTCTTCCTCCCTGTCTTTTTCTTCGACAGTCAGAGTCACGAGACGCATCAGGTGTGCGCAAAAAATTGATTTTCTCAAATCAATTTAAAAATAACAAGGACTCAAGCGTTTTATTCATTAGGAGAGACCAGATCGCTGAACTCGTTCTAAGCGCGAACTGACGAGCTTGAACGAATAGTGACAACAGCTGCTCGGTTCATCAAGGTCACGTTAGCGTCGGCATCGCGACGATACCGGCTATAAATATCTGGATTTTTTTTTATGAACATACACTCCCGGGCCGCGCTATGGAAATGCGTGTTTGCCACTGTCCGAATGATACGACCGCATCCATCACTCGCTGTGATAAACGACCGCGAACAGTAAAAATGATACGCCGATAGTCCGTCGATAAGGCAAACAGAGAGACAGCAAGTAAGACGCGCTCTTTCTCTCTATAAATAACGCGACAACGAAGCCCCGTCGCGTTTAGTTACCACACCCCATGCAATCGGGAAGCCTTTAACGATTGACGGTGATAACGGTGTAATGTCATACGACGTTGGTAGCACACGTGCGGCGTTATCAGATAAATTCTCGAGCACCCTAGAAAACTTCCCCGTCAAACAGTCAGCGTGCTGATGCGGCAGTAAAACAGTCGCACTCGAGCAATATCGGCCGAAGAGCATTGTTAGTAGATGGTAAGTGGTTAGGACGTATCAGGGTACACGAGCCGCAGGCTGTCGAGCCGGAGGCTGCGACGAGAAGCAAGCAGGCGGCAGGCAGGCAGGTAAGACAGCCGGTGGGGATAATTTAACCACGCGCGGCAAGGAGCCGGTTTTCCACGGCGGCCTATCACGAAACTCACAGAGGTACGACGAACCGAAAGGATGAGTCACGGCTGTTCCCTTCCCCCCTCTCTCTCTCTCTCTCCCTCTCTCTCCCTCTCTCTCTCTTTCTTTCTTTTTCTCTGTCGCGCCGAGGTCGCGATGGAGAAAGGGAGGAAGGAAGGTCCATGGCCGGTGCAGTCCCGGATCGGGCACAGGAAGACGAACAGGAAGGTGGCGAAGAGAACGAGGGGATTCGCGAGATCTGGCGTGCGGCTTCGCCTACGCGCGGCTAGTCCTCGAGAGCGAGATACAGCGAGACAAGGAGCCGCGCCAAGGGGAAATAAAGAAGAAAGAAAAGAAACGGGGAAAGAGGAGAAGACGAGAGAGAGAGAGAGAGAAAGAGAGAGCCGAGGTATCGCTACTTATTATACATCCGCCGGCAAGTGGATTTATTGCGAAGGACCGCAACAGCGGGCCGTTGCATCGGCCGGAAAGCGAGATTCATTGCCGCCTCGAGCCAATTAAGCACCCGGTGAGAGCTTTCGATGCGGACGAGTTCAGCAGGTTCGTGCATGACGCAAAGCGCGAAAGAAGCGCCATTGCTCCATCGTGATCGAAACCCTCGGCGTGCGATCTCCGCGCACACGCGATCGATCAGCACTCCCGAGTCTAAGAGCGGTATTCATAGTCAGATCTTACATTTAAGATCGTTTTCTTAACCGCCCGTGTACAATGATGGGTCCGCGAGATATTCGATCATTCATCAGCTTTCGCAAAGGGTCCGGGAGAATCTTAAAATATTATATCGGTAACTCCAAACTTGATCGGGTCTGACGGAATCGAATTATACCGTATATCTGAAAAAGTATGATCGTGCGCGAAGAATTAACAGTTTCCAGATGTTAAACATATCGAGCATAGGAGCATCGCTCGATATGTGTCGAAAATGAACAAAAAAATGTTTAATGTAAAGTCTCAAGCTATCAGTTAGCGTAATACTTGTTTAATCCAAAAGTTCCGCAGCTTGTACATACCAAAAGTGTGGGTGCTCCAAGCAGAAAAATTTGGAAGGACATTGCTCTACCTTCGCATCTGCATTTGGAAGCTTAAAAATATCGAAAAAGTTTGCAGAAAGATTTCTACATATATGATTAGGTTTTCCGTTGAATATGGTAAAACACAAAACAACACACATTCATATAAATTCTGTATATACAAGAAATACGAAAAGGAAAAACATATCGTTTCGTTGGCTATGGAGTATCTGAAGCTGAATTCAAGACGACCTTCAATATAAAATCTGACTATGAAGATAAATCGCCAAAAATCTTCGGATAAATCGAGTTGTCCGGGATCACGATGTTTCGTATCCGTCGATATATCTCACCAGAGCTATAATTCTACCCGCGAATTGATCGCAATTCAATTAAGCTTCCGACGAAGTCTTGATGTATTCCTACGACGCTCGCGTCGTTCGTCGCGCGATCACCGCCAATCTATATCGCTTGATATAATCGCGCTGATCGAGGTATAAAGCGCACGTAACGTGGATAGCTTGTTAAGCCGCGCTCGACGAAGATTAATAATAACGTCTACAAAGTGAGCTCCATCATTCACGGAGCTCGTGAAAGGCCCGTCGCGTTGTAATGGCCACGCCGGCAACGTTACGGCATATACACGCACATACACAGCCGCATAATACTTCATCATTTCCCTGCGCGACAATGATACGATATGGATCGCCCTTCGTCCGTCCATCCGTCCGTCGTTCGTTCGTTCGTTCGTTCGTTCGTTCGACCAACAAGCACGCGAATCCCGCGGTACCAACGAATAACTTTGTTAGCATGGTCCGTCGCGTCGCGGACATCGATCGTTTTCACCGAGATCACCCTGGATCCCCAAATAATCATGAGCGCGCCTTCCGAGATTTATCGTGTTTCGCGTAGCTAATCAAGATAAATAGATGCGTTTACTCTAGGGCGTTTACTCTAAGAGCATTATTACGAAAGAGGAAAAAGCATTTCCTGTGGTACGCCCGCGGCAATAGCTGCCCCGGGATGAGAGTAATCCATCTAATCCTTTTATTCTCTGATATCGGTCAGACAAATAAGATCTAAACCGTATACGAAATGTTAAAACTAGCTTTTGTAGGAGAATTTGGTGGTCGGCCGAGAGTCAAATATTTTCGTCAAGTCGAATAATACCGCCAGAGATATTTTCCATGTGTCAATATTGAACGTCATCCAAGAACTTAATAGAAAGAGGGTCCTCGATCCGTGACGGCTAATCGCATGGCCGTTCGCGATTATCGTCCCGCGCCGCGGGAACTTCAAGGGAACACGAAGAAGCACGCTTGACCAAACACGGGCCGTTATTGCGGCCGAGACTTTTTCGACACAGCCGACTGGATCATTCGATTCGGCCGGGAAAAAAGGCCGAGGAAGCCGGAACGGGGTCGCGACGATTCATTGCCGCGCGAAAACGTCGTTCGTTCTTCTCCCTTCGTTTTTCTCCCTGCCGCCATTACGAGCCACCTACGCCACCAAGGTACCGTGAACGGGCGATGTGTGCTTCGCGCGTCAATTGGCGCGAACATTTGGCCGGCAACAGGCCGCAACCGAGCGTCGTCGAAGCGTGCTACGCCTCGGCGTCGGCGTAACAAACGTTGCGGACGCGTCGAATCGCCGTCGATGTCGATAACAGGGAATCGCGTCGATGCGGGCGCGATATAGTCGTCGAAATTGAAAACGGCGGTTTTGTTTTTCGAGAATAATGCTGCGCGAGGCAAAACGCACGACGCGATACCGCGGGGCGCAATTAGCTCGGCGAAAATTGAGCCCGATACGATATGCCACTGCGCGGTAATTATACGTAGTACGTGCAAACACACGATAGGCATTATGAAACTTTTGATAAGCGAAATTACGCAATTGTGTGTTTATTCGCAGTTGAGTCGAAGCCGCTTCGTGCTCGGATCGCGCCAATATTCGCGAGAGCAACAACTGGTGCGTTTATGAAACGCAATGATTGCGCAATCGTTCGGCGATTATCACCTCTGATTGAGTAATCCTTCTAGACCCGGAAGAATATTCCAATGACAGGGAGTGCGCTCACTCAACCGTTGGCTTTTTTGAACGCAGCCATTGTTGGAGGGAAACAACGTTCGCGAGCACTCGATACAAGGAAGGAAAGTTTACTCGCGCAAATACCATGCAAATAGAGCGAGAAACAACGAAATTTCGTGTCATTTTCTCTCCCGAGGAAATTCGCTTCGCTCTCGCGTCTGCTTCAAGTCGCTTCAGGTCGGAGTGATGACATAACAACCGTAATAAATGCTTTTTCGACTCACCTCCGCGAGTGTTTCTTGCACTGACATGTTGCCGTCCATAGGGACATCTCCATTCTTGCGCGTTTCTTCGCGATTCGGCTTGGTCTTGTCCTTCTTACTAAAGCTGATCGACCTGAAGGACCACTTCTTCTTCTGAAACGAACAAGCGACGCCGATAACGATCTCGAAGACTCGTCGGATTTCGCGAAAAAGTGACACTTGTAAATTAGCAGTAACTAAAACACTCGAAGAATCCGTCTCGAGCATCCGTATGCAACAATAAATATTTGACTTGCGTCTAAAAAAAATGGTTATTTGAGTCCGATAAGACCGGGGGTTAAAATACAGTTGATCGCTGAGTAGAGCTATAAACGGATTACCGCACGGATCGTCTCACCTTATCCTTCTTTTTGGCTTCCTTACTATCTGGAGAGGCGACAGCGTTCGGACTGGCAGGGGTACCCTCTGTAGGCGTCGTGACCTCTGCCACTTCCGCGGGAGATTCTCCGGTCGACTCTTGCTTCGCCTCCTCAGCCTTTACTTCCTCTTGCTGAAAAACAAAGATAGCGACTGGCTCGAGTTTTCGTTCTCCGACACGAAGTGACAATAACTACGAAGATAGAGGATATCTCTGACTCGAACCTTTCTTCTTCGTTCGCTTAATCGGTTTCTGAAGGAGTAATCACGTGAAGTCATGCATCACAATATACCTTGCGGATTATTGGAAATAATGACGCATCGCTAAGGTATTATCTTAAGCTATCGCAGCGATTCCTTCATGCGTACGGGAAGACAAACGAGGAAGGGGCCCGTAAAAACGAACGGTATAGTCGGCGGGATACACTCCACGTCGTAAATCGCAAATCCTATATCGTAAATCGATACCATGTAACGCCACAATATACGACTTCCGACGACGGGACGGGGATATAACACTTCCGAGTTCCATCGTTTTATGCGAAACGATAGCGCTCGTACGTCATGACTCAGCTGATAATCGACTTTCGGTGTGCTTCAACTCGCAACATATATTTACAATCCTCACGAGGCTACACCGCTGTCGATCCAAAATCGCGCTCGTTAATCACAATATTATTATGACAGTCAATTTATAGATTTAACATGTAGGGTTAAGTACTCAATTATTGGTCCTGCTTAAGGATCATTGACACTTTAGAAAAACCTGGTTTCTCTTGCGACCAATGACTATTGTTCTCTCAGGGAATCATAGAGTGCAAGCAAAAAGTTGACCTGCGACGCGGGCTACAAGGACAACCAGGTTTTTTTTTAGAGTGTCCACAACTAAGCAATAATTGGATGCTTTATCCTACACGGTGTCACGACAAGCTCGTAATCTCGCGTCTTCATAAACTGCCATTAGACAAGAGCCAATTACGCGAACGAGTTTCGCGCTCGCGAGTGTACGTGGAAGAAGATCTTATGTACTCATCGAGAGTTTCTGTCCGGAAGTGGCGCGTAACCGCGCTGAAATAAAGTCACTTGACTCTCTCGCCCGAGACTCATTACTTATAAATAATATCAAACTTCCATGAAACGCGCCTTGGTTTTCCCGGAAAGTGCGCGGTTGCACGAATACACAACGGGACTTCCCTTTGTCTCGACCCTGCAAAGCCCTCTCGACAAGCTCGCTCGCTCTCCTAGTGTCGGGCAAGTGCACAGCTTACCAAACTCGCGCCGAGAAAAGTGCGGCCGACAAGGAGCGCGGTCTTGTCGACTCTTCTTTACGCGAAAAGTCCGACGGGGTTGATTAGATCTCTAGAGCGTTGAGGCTCTGAAGCCCCGTTGGACCTAAGCTCGACACTCACACAGACGTGATTGGTGAGCCACCATCAGGGAGTCTATTACGAGCCGGTCAAATGAGCCATTGAGGAGCGAAGAATTAGGAGAAGCATCGTCAAATTGCGATTCGACCCGTTAACCGACGCGAATCGCGATTAATTCGGGCCGTAATTGCGACTGACTGCAAACTTGCCGCGTATCCCGGTGGCGTCAAGTTATTTATTCCTGCGTTGCACAAGTGGCACAAAGTGTACTCTCGTGCAAATTTGTGAGAAAAATTTTAACGAGAGAGACGATTGTTCATCGGAGGACACCGCGACAACGCGATCGCTCGCTACCTCGGGTAATTACGGCCCCGTTCGTGGCGTAAATAGACGGACAAAATGCTTCGTTAAGGACGCTTCTCGGAAGTTAGTTGAAAAGCGAGCTATCCTCGGGCATTGTCTCACCGAGTTTGTAACTCGCCCGTTATCCACGCTTCCCTACACCGAAATGACATTTCGCGGCGCGAAACCATTTTTCCGTTTCACTCCCATGTTCTCGCGAAGACACCCAGATAGACTTTCGCGATTGTCACGAAGCTTTGCAATTCTTCTAATTACATTGATGAAGCAGATATCGAATTAACTTCGCATCGTAAATTTGCATCATATATCTTACATAATATATTGTTTCGCATAAATTTTGATTGTTATTTTGGAATCTCTTTCGTACTTCAATATTCCGTTATTATATAATAAATGCCATATAAACAACTCGTAAAGAAGGTATCCTTTATTATTTACAAATCGACTAGAATGAAGTTGCTATCAAATCTACACCTGCTTACACGGAGGAAATATTGTGAGAAAAAATTATAACAAAATTTCTATAATCTTAGACCGTATAGAATTATGATCAAAATTACTACGAATTTCTTTAAAGATGTTAATTACAAAATTATCTTAATTACTTTAATGTTTTGTATATCAAATATTAAATTGTCAAACTTACTACTTTTATCGTAATTTGTACCATGATTTCAGTACATAAGTCCAGTTTTACAAAAAATATTATTTCAACGTAATTTTTACTGCAATGTTTGCTCCGTATATATTAAGCTACAATCTCAGCCGTTGAAATAAAACATTTGTTATATCTTTGTTTGCCGGAAAATATGATTTCTATCGTTCGATGTGTTTCTATCTTCCCTTTTCCGTTCTGAAAAGAACGATAAAACTAGTAGTTTTATCGTTCTTTTCTGCGATAAAACTAGTAGTTGCGCCTACAACGGATATTGTCCGAGCCGAGTGAAACACGACGTGGACGACGTTTCGCAAGGCAGGTGACTAGTCGATTGTACAAACAACAGGCTACTTTATTATCGTTGCAAATACGCAGGGACAATTCCACGTGTTTATCCGACGTAGACGCATGTACGCATGCACGCATGTGCACAACGCGACGCGATAAAACAACGAGACGGCCGATCGGCGTGACGTCCACGGCGTCGCTTAAGAACGATATAAATCCGACGTGGGCGTAGATAGCGGATTTCCTGATTTACAATGGACCAAGCGAGGCGCGACGCGCCGTCACATTCGATTACAAGTAACGCACGTGCAACGCCATTCTCTCTCCCTCCCCCTCACCCTTCGTTCCCTCCTCTCCTCTTCCCTCCGCATCGCCATTTCTTCCACAACTTGGCGAGGCGAATCTTCGCGGACGCGTTTCTCGCGCATTATATTATGTAAATACCGGCTTATTTTTGCATTCACGAGAGAGCCAGACGCGCGACGGCGAGGCGTCTCGGAGTATCTAACGAGCGAGATACAAGCCAAGGGCAGGAGAGAAAAGAACGAGACGGAAAACGGGGCCCGTGAGAGATGCAGAAGGCGAGCGCGTGCACCGAAGGGTATTCTTTGACGTAAATGCATGGGGTACAATAGCGCCACGCGAATGTGAAAAAACTACGATGTTGTTTGAGCGGATAATCTCTTTCAAACGTGGAAAAATGGATACACGAGCCATTTATGAGCATGCATAGTAAATAAAAAGGTACTACCTTTCTTGCGGTTCGAATTGTTTCGGACTGTTCATCTCGATTAATTCGCAAAAATCCATTTATTTCGCGACAACATCGCGTAGTTCATCAATATAATATAATATCAATATAATATCAATATAATCGAATAAATAGAGGAAATATTTAGGAAATAAAGTATATCTTTATTCGGACATATTATATATTAATAATATATTCCCTTATGTTAATGTATAAAATATTTCTCAAATAAAAAAATATACATTTTCTTAAAACTTTAACTTTTCATGAAAGCGATTGTTTATTCTACTTAAATAAGAGAATTTTGATTCAAATAAATATGTTATTAATACCTACTAAATAGGTATTTCTTATTTTTTAGATATTTCTGCTCAGTTTACATTCTTAGTTATTAAAAAATTGGTCTATAGAATTGACTAGAACGAAACGCAATGTATGTGTTACGATTCATTATTCATAGTGGAAGTGTCGAGCATACATACATTAAACAACTACACTTAACCTCATCTGTAACGTTAAACGTGGTCGTTTCTCAGCTATTCTTTTTCTAATAATGCGCATTTCACACAGGTACTTTGCAATGGATTGAGATTCCGCGCGCGCGAGTCGTACTGTTGAAGATGCAAAATAACAAGTGTGGAAGGTCGATATATATTTAAATTCAAAGGCTATACCAGTTTACCATTAATTAATATTCAAAGATACACGGTGGTGTGGTCAATCTTGTGCAACGAGTGAAAACGCCACATGTGTAACCGATCCACGCGATGTCGGATTCATGGGACACGAAGCGAACTTGGAGACGAAAGTCAGTTGTCTCGTCGTGACGCGATTTCCACGATAAATTCCTCAGCGCTGCAACGTACACGCATATACGCAAACACCTGTTCTGCATGCACGGTTACAAATAGCAAATTCTCGAGCGTTGAGTAATCGCGGTGCGAATTGGCGTTTGATTTTAACTAGGCGATAACACCTAGCGTGAAACTGCCACGCAATCAGCGAGGAATTACACGTCGAAGCTAGTATTTAACGGTTAATGTACACGGCTTAGAGATTTACCACGCATTTAATTGAGTTGACCGCGAGATTGACTGATTGATTGATTGAGGGTTTATTTATCATTCTAGGGCAGTTTCTTCGAAGAACGTGGATACAATTATAAAAAAAAGTACATTAAAACATTACATGTATATATAATTTACACGCAAAAAGTAAATATTTTAATGAAAAAAAATACTGTAGTAAGAGTAATGTTTAAAT